AAATTTAACTTTTAATTCTAAATTTTATTTCATAAAACTGATAAAATAAGATAAAAATAGGATGAAAATAAGAACTAAAAATGCAATATAATTTAAATATTATTAAATATAAATTATTGTGTCATATATATAACATTAAGTCTTGGGGCCAGCTATCCCACTCTTTGAGGTGCCTCCAACGTAGCGAGGAGATTAGTCACTGCTGTCGGCGGTAGATACTCCAAGAACGAACCTAAAAAAAAAAACATTAAGTCATGACAAATTAGTATTATAATTTTAATAATTAATAAATAGACATGTATTAAAGAGATTAAAATTGTGAAATTAAAAATTAGAGATAAAATATATAATTTAACCTTATTTTCAGTGTTAGTTTTTATTAATAAAAATTCAGAAATTTCACCTTTATTTTATTGGAAAAAAAAATTACCCAACTTAAATAACAGAATCTCACAGCGTATGAATTTGAAACTGAAAAGAGAAACAATCAATCACTAATAACTTTTGAAACACAATTATTACACAATGATATATATTGTTTTAAATACTTTTTTATCATTATCAGTTTTTGAAATAATTTAAGAATATATTCTGCGGACACAGTTGCTTCTATTAATGTGTTATTTTTCAATAATTACGATATTTTTCATAAACCATTAATAATGATCTTTTTTGAATTGATATTGTGATAGGGATATTATTAATGATGAATCTCCTTGGAACATGATCATATGATAGGATAAGGATGATGAATCATTCATAAAGAAAAGAGATAAGAAAGCATGCATTTTTATTTTGCAATAAAACCATTTTGTTTATTTTTTTATTGAGTGATAACTAAGTTATTTTTTTTTATCCATACACTAAATTAATCTTTGAATTCATTAATTAGTTCTTATGATTATAAAAATATTTTGATTCTTAAAATTATTATTGACATCCATTTTAATTAATTAATTTTAAATTAATTTTTTTGCACTTTATTTTATTTTAAATTCAAACCAAATTAAAAGAATAAATAGTCATGAAAATAATGAGATTGGTCACTACAAGAAAATAATGATTTTGCGACAGTTATATAGTCTACATTGCGACGGTTAGAACTGTCACAAAGACACCATTGCGATGGTTCACCAACTGTCGCAAAAATGTCCGTCACGAGTGAATTTTGCGACAGTTACTGGAACCGTTACACAAACCGTCGCAAAATTGGAATTACGACCCTTAAAGCACTTGTTGCTAAATATTTATTTTTTATTTTATTAAATTTTATAGACGTCTCAAATTTGGTCGCTATTATTCTCAAGAATTCTATTTCACAATACTTCACTTTTTAGCATGTTTTGTCATTACTTACACAATTTCAGGGAAACTTTCCAAAAGGACACTCATCCCTATATTTTTCCAAGTCAAGCACACTTAACTATGAAGTTCTGATGAGATAAGCTACCGAAAAGCACATACATGTTGTCAGTATAAGTTGTACAAATTAATTCATTTAAGTCATTCTCAATTATACAATCTCATACTTATACTATCTTTGGATACCTCTCATTTCGGTATGTCCGAACCATTATAAATATATAATAATTATATTACTAATAATAATTATATTATATTTAATTAATCTTTATTTATATATATAC